TCGAAGGGACAGCAAGGAAGCCAATGACTGGGTGAAATGAGTGAAGAGGGCGTCCAGAGAGGACAGCCAAACGCTCTGTGGGCCACAGCAGGACTTTGTCCCTTGCTGAGCGAGATGGGAAGCCAGTGAATGTTTGCGGGCAGGGTAGTGACATGCTGTGACTTATGTTTAAAAGGATTACTCCATTTGGGATGATGAAGAAAAGCTCTATAGCAAAAGTTCTGTTGTGGTGGTTATACAGCATTGTGAGTGTACTTAATGCCAATGAATTGTGTACTTTAAAATGGCAAATTTTTTGTTATATATGTTTTGCCACGATAAAAATAATTTTTTTAAAGGATCACGGTGGCTGCTATGTGCAGAATAGACTGCAGACGGGCAGAGGTAGAAGCAGGAAGACTAGAGAGACGGCTGTGGCAATAGTGTAGTCACCAGGCGATGCTGGCTTGGGCTAGGGTACTAGCAACGGAAGTGATTAGTTGTGGGCATGTTTTGGAAATAGTTCAGAGCTAAAGCTGACAGGGCTTACCAATGACACATGGAATGGGAGAGAGTTTGGCCCAAACCACTGGAGGAATGGAGTTGCCACTAACTGAGATGAGGGAATGCATGTTTGGGAGGTAGAAATCAAGATTATTCTTCAGACATGTTAACTTTGAGATATCTGATATCCAAGACAAGATGGTGAGTAAATAGGTGGATATGTGAGTCTGTTGTTGAGGAGCAAAGTCTGGGCTAAAGACATACATATGGCCGGGACTGGGATTGCTCATAAAAATTAGAGTGCAGGTAATGGGCTCAAAATCTCAGATGCACATTAAATCATGTCGAGGACTTAAAACCCCAACACCCAGACTTCCTCTTAATTGATTTAATTGGTCTGAAGCTGTGCTCAAACTCCAGCGCTGTTTAAGATTCCCCAGATGATTCTAATCCACTGCCAAGATTGCAACATTGCTTTCTCCGTCTCAGACCTAAGAATCACCCCAGGGTATTTGTCAAAAATGCAGAATCCCTCAGGTTGACCCCTCTAGAGACCAATTTGGTAAATCCAGTGCAGGATCCCTCAAATCAGCATTGCAACAGCCACACTCCACTCTGAAAGACACTGAACTGGGAAAAACTTCCTACATAGCAAAGTGCTCTTTCTTCTAAAGCATACCCCCAATTGATTTTCCACGTAGGCTGCTGGTGTAGTGATTCTACCCAAATCTGCCATCAATCTTTTTGTAATTTTGCTTCCTACTCGAGGTCACAGTGAGTGAGTGGCTAGAATTTACTGCATCCACTTACAGATCAGTTTCCTGGCAGATGCCTGCTTGTCTGTCACCATCTTCTGTAATCCAGATCCCTCTTTTAACAGCAAATTTGCATGAATATTGTATTCGAATTTCAGATTCCAAGAACTTGGGCCACCTGGTGCGAACTTCCAGGCGCTCCTTGGCCAGGAGAATGAAGAGATTCCTCCTGGTCCCCTTTACTATGTCCAACCCTTCTCTCCTCATCTCTATTTCAAAAGGCCCAGAGGCTTCGAAATTCTTGCCATCTGGCTGTACTAGCCACCTCCTTCCCCAGCCCCATCACTGTCATCCACAGCAGTGGCTGTGACTCTCAGCTGCATTAGAAGCACTGGGGAACCTTTTTAAAAATCCTGAGGCTTAGGCCTCCCTGCTGATCCCTGAAATCCTTTGTAACGCTCCTCTGATGATTTTGAATTGCAGCCGGGCTTGGGAACTGCTGACCTAAAGCTCTCCTGCTTCCTGCCCTTTATTCATTGGAGAGACTACAGCTTCTTGCTCACCCCAGCTTCCGATGTCATTTCCAGGACTTCAGGAGTCTTGTGTATAACCTGTACGAAATCTTTTTTCTCTCATCCTGTTAACATTCTTACCTCCAGGCATTTTCACTCTATTCTACCCAGTGATATCTGAGGAGAGATCTGAATGAAGTGGGGGATACAATGGATATCCAGGGAAAAGAGCATTCCAGCAAAGGGAAAAACACACGCAGAGACCCTGAAGGAGGAGCAGGATCACTTTGTCGAAGGGACAGCAAGGAAGCCAATGACCGGGTGAAATGCCATCCAATTTCCTGGCTATACCAAAACCTGATCCATAGCAGTAAGTGAACCAGGTCCAGAATCCCACCTTCAGGCCCCCTACTCAGGAATTTTCCCAGTTCCCCTTTACTCCAGCCCCCACCCCTCTAACAATTCTCCCGTCATGAATATCAGTCTGGGGCCCTCACATGTCTTTACTCCCCTTTGGGGCATGTTTAAATTCCATGGGTCATTATAATCCCTCTCTTGCTGACATTCACAAGGGATGCCCTACCCCTGCCTTACTCAGCTGGTTCAACCCCAAGTCTGGTTGAACCTAAAACTGACTCTTCCCACAGCTGCACCAGAAGTGTGACATTACGAAGATGAAGATATTACTAGAATGCAAGTCACACATGTAGTGTCACACAAACAATGACACTGGTAATGTTACATTTCTAGTAATATCTTCACTGCTAGAAGTGTCTTCATTACTAGAAGTGTGACACTAGTATGCGACTGCAACCAGGAAAGTCTCAAATCTCAACACTATCGGACAATCTTGTAATACACTTATGCCTTCCTGATCATTTCAATTTCCTAATGCCTGAGACAGTTATTTCTCATATTTTCCTCTCTCCTCAGCATCCTGTCTCAGCTGATGGCTTTGCTTCATGATTCATTGAGTAAACAAATGAGTCTCACCTTCCCCACCAAAAATATACTTATCTTTAACTAGCCCTATATTCTAGGTGCTTCATCCTTTTCTAATCAAAGGAATATCACTGCTCCCCTCAGGGGCCAATCGCTCCACTGGCGCTCTGGACCCCATCTCTGCTGCCTGTTCAAGGGCTTTGGTCCTGCAGACATTCCCCTCTCTGCTCTGCCATCAGCTTCTCTAAATGATTCCCTTTAATATGCCAACATACTCAGTGCCTCCCCTTTCCCCAAATGCCATTCTACCTATCACCAGTTTCTCTGCTTTCTTACAGCAAAACATCTAGGAAGTACTACTTCTCTTCACTATTTGGACTTTAACACTGCTTCCATCCACACCATTCCATGGAAACTTCTCTCTTCAACCTCTCCCGTCACCTCCATGCTGCCAAATCCAGTGGACCTGTCGTCACCTTTCTCGACCTCCCAGCAGGATTTGACTCAGTTGACTTTCCTTCCTTCTGGAAATACTGTTTCTTCTTCATTTTCATCTCCTCATCCTCTTCCTATCCCTCTTGAGCTCACCTTTCATCTAACCTCTAAGTTCCTGCTACTCCAAGTATAGTCTGGGGAACCAGCAGCATTGATGGCATCTGGGAGCTTCCTAGATTTGCAGTCTCAGACCCCAGACCTACTGAATCAGAATCTTCATTTAACAAGCTCACCCAGTGACTCCTGGGATGTTAAGGTTTTAGAATCATTGCTCTAAGTGTTGGCATGCCCCCAGAGCCCTGTGTTGTACTCCCTTCTTTCCCGCTTCTGTGAAACTGTATTTTTAAATTTTTTTATTTCCATAGGTTGTTGGGGAACAGGTGGTGTTTGGTTACATTAGTCAGTTAATCAGTGGTGATTTGTGAGATTTTGGTGCAGGTGATTCCATCCAGGCCCATGGTTTTAAAAACTGTTTATCTCCAAATCTATCCCTAACTCTGACTTACCTCCTAAATTCCAGATACATATACCCAGTAGGCTACATGACATCTCCATTTGGATGTCTCCAGCACTTCAGACTTATGTTGAAAACAGAAGCCCTTCCCCACATTACTAAATAGATCCACTAAAATAAGAGGTAAATGTATCGAGCCCTCAAAGTGACAGGCACTAATTATTCTAAGTGATGAACATGCCTCAACTCCTTTAGTTCCTATCTCTTGGTGGTGTGAGGACTATCATCATCTCCATTTTACAGATAGGTAAACTGAGGGGTAGAGAGTGACTTGCCCGAAATTATCTCTTAAGTACGGCAACCAGGATTTGCAGGTAGGTAACCTGACCCCAGAACATGCCTCCTACCTGGTATAGCTCTCAATTCCATTCACCCTACAGCTCAAAGCACAATATTAAGAGTCATTGTTTATTTCCTCCATCTTCCACTGCCAGCCCTGCACATTTTCAAACATTACCTTAAACCCATGGATTTCTCTTTCTATCCCTGGCCACCACCCTTGTCCAAGCCATCAGTTTGCTCATGTGTTCATTAACCTCCCAACCGGTCTCCCTCTAAAGTGAGCTTTTTGAACTGAGAATGTGTCTGCACTGTTGAAAGCCCCTCATGGGCTGTCATTTGCTTAAAAATGGCCTTGAGATCCCTTTGTGATCAGAGCCCTGTCTTCTGCAGCCTCATCCCCCATGTCAGCCCCAGGGGGATCCTATTCCTCAGCCCCTCAAGGCCTTTGCTCCTGCTGTTCCCTTAGATCAAAACCATATTCTCCCAGCTCCCTTCATCCTGCAGGTCTCAATCTCATGTCACCTCTTCCCAGCCACCCTGTCTAAAAGGTTACTCTCATAGCACCCTGTTTCCTTCATGGCGTTTATCACATTCTGAACTTGAGAAGTATAAATGTAATTGTGAAAGCATGAAGCAAGTCCTACTCTACCTGGTTTAAATCCTGGCACTCTGCTCTGGCCTCTGTGTGCCTCCATCTCCTCAGCTATGAAAAGCTACAATAGCTCCTACTTCATATGGCTGCTGTGGTGAGTTATAGCAATGCACGGCACATGCTAAAGGCTGCTTCAGCATTTGCTATAGTTGTGCATACTTGAAGGAAGGACCTTGCCCCTTCATCATCTCTATATATAACACTTAGAACCAGTGCTTAGAACATCCGACTTATACAAATTTGTCAAAAGAATGGCTATTTTTCTTCATTAGTTCCCCTTCATATAAGTGACAGTATCTACCATTTCCCAATGCCATATATTGATGTTTTCACACTAGGATCACCAATTAATGTGGCTTCATGGTCTAGTGCACATGCATTTATTTTATTCTATTCACATTGTACAATTGTTACACAACCTACAAAAAGTACAAAAGCCTAGCCGTTTTCCAATGCCAGGTCAGAGCCAAGTTGCAAAAAAGGAATACAGCACAGTCAGTTACAAGAAGAGCTCAGAGGTCCTGTACAAGTCACACTGTACAAGTTACATCACATGTTTAAAGCTGTAAATATTGCCACAGGAGAATCTCTTGTCTTTGCAGCGACCACACAGTTCTTGTCGATGAGGCCTCCTTAGATCGATGTGTCTTTTCTTTTGAGGACAGGAACAATGAGACTTTGAGCAGGTCTTTAGGAAACAAGGAAGAGTTTGGACACTAAATGATCGGTTTAGTGTTTCAAATGTAATCCTCAAATCACAGTACTGCTCCCTATTACCCTGTTCCTGAAATCTTCATCCTCTGAGTCCTACACGAAGGCCAAGACCAAGTTGTACAAAATTACTTGTATCATATTAAATGTCAAATATATTTTCAAGATGATCACAGAAGATATTCAAGAGAATACTGTGGAGCCAATCAAGACAACGTAACGTAAAAGAAGAATTTAAGAGTTTTGTAGAATTTCTTCACTCTGTAGATTTTTATATTTGTAGCTGAACCAGTCAAGGCAACATAGTGTAAGAGAAAAAAATTAATCAAGAGTTTTATAGAGTTTCTTCACTATGTAGATTTTTAGATTTGTAGGCAGGTCAGGGTGAGTGGCAGTGGGTAGGAATTAAGTGAACATTTAAAAAAGACTAGAGCGGATGTTCTCAACCAATCTCCCATCAGGAGATGGGGTGATTTTACTCCATCTCCAACCCCAGTGGATATTTGGCAATGTCTAAATATATTTTGGGTTGTTAAAACTGGGAGAGAGGGGTATTCTGGAGGAAACTAATGTTTATTTCCAGTCGTGCCTAATCTTTACTAGGATATAAAACAGTGCCTTTCGACCATTATCTCATTTCTGTCTTCCAATAATTAAAACTAATATCCTATGGAAACTGGTACATTACCCTGGTTCCATCCCCCCAACCCTGCCAATCTTTGACATTGATAATCACTGTTCTATTTTCTACATGTCCCATAGCCACACGGAATAAGTCAAGATGTACTTTTTTTTTTTGGAGACGGAGTCTCACTCTGTCTCCCAGTCTGGATGGAGTGCAGTGGTGAGATCTTGGCTCACTGCAACCTCCATCTCCTGGGTTCAAGCAATTGTCCCTGCCTCAGCTTCGTGAGTAGCTGGAATTACAGGCACTCACCACTAGGCCCAGCTAATTTTTGTATTTTTTAGTAGAGATGGGGTTTCACCATGTTGGCCACGCTGGTCTTGAATGCCTGACCTGAGGTGATCTGTCTGCCTTGGCCTCCCAAAGTGCTGGGAATACAGGCGTGAGCCGCCACGCCTGGCCAAGATGTACCTTTTTGTATTGTGAAAAGACATTTTTATTATTCTAATTGCAGTCTTAAACATGATTTAATCAAACTGTTCTCCTGAAGAATATGCCTCCTTATAAGAAAATTCTAACAAGTAAAACTCACATGGTGTTTACTATGTGCCTAGCACTCTCTTAAGCACTTTATATATATGAATTCATTTAATTCTCACAACATCCTTACAAAGAAAGGCTCAATAAAATAAGGATTTACCCTAAAGGTAGATTTCTGCTTCTGGAAATGGTGGATTAGGTAATTCTAACTAAGTCTCCTGGATGACTACAAAAGCTGAGCTAAAAATAACTATTTGGATCACTGAGAAATTATCAAAGCATTAGAGATGAAAACTCAAATAGGTGAGTGCTTGATATCTGGGACTGTTTACTCTCACTATAGATTTTTCACATGTGATAGCTAGCACTCAATCAACGATAACTAGGTACTGTATATGAGGAGACAGAACAACATACTTGAAAGCCAAGAGGACAGCAATCGACTCACAGGGTATTGAGTTAATGGAGTTCTCTGACACAGATTTTAAAATCACTAAGTGCTAATATGTTCAAGGAAATAAAATATTTCCAGCAGAAAAATTGAAGTTTTCTTCTAAAGAAATAAAAATTCTGGAACAGAAAAATACAACAAATAAAATCAATAGTTCAATGGATGTTTTAATCACAGATTAAAAAGAGCTGCGATGAGAAATACAAATGGAAGATGGTTTAGTAGATAATATTCAGACTAAAGCAAGAAGAGCTAAAAGCATAGAAAATATAGATAAGCACATAAGAGACAGAAAGAAATATGGTGCAAAGGTCTAGTATGAGTAATTGGAAGAAAGAAGGAATAGGAGCAGAAGTAACATTTGAAAAGATAACAGTTGATAATTTCTCAAAAGGACTTAAAATCTTTAAGCTGCAGTTTCAAGAAACACTGTGAAACTCAAGCAGGACAATTACAAAGAAACTACAACTAGGCATATCATTGTAAAACTGCTGAAAAACCAAGGCAAAGAGAAGTAAGCAAATTTAAGAAGGGGAAAGAGAAGATTACTTCAAAAGAGATGCAGTAAGAGCTACGTTGTTTCATAGAAACAATGAAATTCAGATCCTTAAAGGGCAGAAAGAACTATTTCCAACCTAGAAATTCTATGCCCAGTGAAAATATCTCTTAAAAAGGTATCCAAGGCTGGGCATGATGGTTCATGCCTATAATCCCAGTACTTTGGGAGGCCGAGGCAGGTGGATAACCTGAGGTCAGGAGTTCGAGAC